GTGCAGGGCACGTCCCGTATGTGCATCAAGTATGAAACAAATAAATAAATAAATTGTGCATCAGCGAAACAGCTGAAAAAAAAACTGCAAACAACATGAAGCATACTGAAACTCTTGCCTCTTCCTGTGCAATTCTTTCTTAAACCACTAATACCTCCGAGCCTGAATTTCACTGCGCTCCGAGTTTTGCCGAGCCCGGGTCCCACTCCATTTCCTCCTGGTACTCTCACGGAAAGAACAAAAAAAAAAAAAAGGAAGAACGAAAGTTGCAGCCGTGAAACTCAACAAAAGAAGAAAGAAAAAGAAGGAAACAAAGCTTTGGCCGTGATTGCAGTTATACATTCTTGGAAGTGGTAGTGTGCGTGTGCCCTCAGTGAGGGCATCTCAGCCTCGCGGCCAGGTTGTCAGACCCCAGAAAGACAAGAAAAAAAAAAAAAAAGAAACGGAAACACGGATTCGGTCATGAAAATGAAACGGTTTTCACCTTTTGCAGTAACAGACGCAGATCCCAGGGCTCGATCCCTAGACTTCACCCTACCCATGTACAGTACCTGTGTGTGTAGTCCCCGAGAGTTGAACCTGTGACCTGTGTATTCGTAGACAGTTGGTAGGTCTGTCGTAGGTCCATAGGCAGCAGGGGTTCAATTTATAGATCTATAGAGTAGAAGTTTTAGCGAGTTCCAGAAGGCTAGCTGTAGAAGGTCGGCAAGTGGGCAAGTGGTCAAGTGGCGAGTCAAGTGGTGGACTATACTGCAGTGCAATCGCCGTACGACTACGGTAGGTTGGCAGGGAGTCCACAGTCAGTCAGCGGTAAGGTCCAGTCAGTCCCACTCCGGTCCAGCATGTACCACAGGGGACTGTGAGCACCATGGGCCGTTGGCAAAGGGCAGACCAACGAGTTTCCAAAGTATAAATCAAGCAGCGCCCAGCCTTTCATTCATTCCTGCGTGAGCCATGCAGAAGCGCTGCCGCAGCGACTTGTGCAAAGAGGTCTGCAGTGGGCCCAGAGGACGCAGTGGGCGAGAGGGGAGGAGCTTAGTATAGCGATAGGGTAGGGGCAGCCATAGCTGCCATAGCTATAGTTAGTGGGAAGTGTGAGTGTGTATGTGTGAATGTTCAGAGTGATGCGTGTGGGATATCCAGGGTGATCCGGTGTGTGTGAACAGTGAGTTGTTTGGGCGCTGAGCCGCCATAGCCAACTGAAATTGAACTCGTATCTGGAAGCCATATCTCTGAGTTTTGAGTGGGCGCATGTCGCCAATTTGCTGTGCTGCTGTTTAGATGCATGAAAAGTGTGAATGAGAGTGAGTCTGATTGCATTGGTATCGGAGCTGGTACCCGCTATTCCATGCGCGCCGAGTTGTGTGTCGCAGGGTGATGCGCCATAGCAGAGGTGGCCGCCGAAGGTTGTAGTCCGCCATAGCAGACCTGAGGTTGGAGAAGCCGCCGCGCACCTGCAGAGAAGACCACGATGAAGAAGAAGACCGAGAGAGAGACAGAGAGAGAGAGAGAGAGAGAGAGAGAGAGAGAGAGAGAGAGAGAGAGAGAGAGAGAGAGGTTGAGCAATTCAAGATTGGGTTACTACGTACCTGCTGCGCTGGAGATACCGTTAAAGAGAGAGAGAGAGAGAGAGAGAGAGAGAGAGAGAGAGAGAGAGAGAGAGAGAGAGAGAGAGAGAGAGAGAGAGAGAGAGAGAGAGAGA